TCATCAAGCCCACATATGCTCTCACTCCGTAGCTCAAACGTCTCCTCCCCTAGTTCTCAGTTTTTCAGGAACTGATCGGCCTCATCAAGCCCACAGCAATTGTTTTTCGTTATAAAAATAACAAAAGCTATATCCGTTTTCGTTTTTCTTAGAGCGGGCGTACTCACACCAGGACTTTTCTGGATGTATGATTCTATGGGTGTCGCTCCACTAGTACATGCTGTACGATTTCGGATAGTGCTACACCCACCGCTCCACTTACTGTACGAAATTTACCTTTGGAAATGACCGTATGCCATTGGTCGTCAGATGGCGCCCTCCAATTTCACCATACGATCCCGGGGCAAGGTCCCACTTTCACAAATTAGGAGATTTCGCCCGTTGATCTCGGCTATCTACGGTCTCTATCTCATAATTCGTGCAAGTGCGACCTAGCCCCCGTATAGTTCCCAGCCTGCCAACTTCGTTAATCGGAGGGTGGTCGAAGGAGGTCGGCATTCTACGGCGAAATCGTATGGAGCACCTGGAGTCCGCGCCGACAAATTGCCGTCGTAGTGCTGTACGGGTATTTTGTAGTGAACTAAGGAATTGTAGACTTGTATAGCAGGTGGGAAGTGGAGCGACGCCACGATTTATTATACGATTTTTTCAGCTCTGACAGCTGTACGGCCCCTATACGAAATTCTGTATAGCTGACGGTAGTGGAAGGAGACCCTACGGCCCGCAGGGAGTGCATCTGAGTGCACTTACGTCCCGAGCTGGGTGGAAAAAATCCCAGTGTGAGTATGCCCGCACTTGGCTTCACTTTCACTATTTTCGCCCCCTCTCTTCGGGCCTCGCCACGCCACTGTAGAAAACTCTTTTTTTGACATTTGTGCATAGCCACACCAGGGGCCTGGACCCACTAGAGGGAGGTTTAGTTCAGTTTGGGAGTTGTGTGACAGCCAGGACAGCAAAGAAAAGAAAAGCTAAAATTTGTGCAGCCGCTAGATTAGTGGGCTGCCTGACAAAGATGTGCTATATCAAATTTGCATTGAGAGAGAAAAAGTAAAGAGAGACCTGACAGTTGAATCTGACGACTGACAGACCAACCACAGCTTTCTTCACACACAGGAGGCAGTCCTTGTTTCTAGCCTACTGCTTGGTAGGCTAAAATCAAAGATTGCGGGCCTTTGGGCGGGAAAAGGATTGTGTGGGCATTGCCAGTGTTAAGAGACTATTCTTTTCTGTTTGTTGCCTTTCTTTGAATTTTCTTTAACATTTTATTGCATTCTTCTAAAACGCCCATGACTGGGCGTCCGATCTGTTACATCCGATGGCCAAATTGTGTCACTCGTGTCCCACTGTATTACATTTCTAAACTAAACAGCTGCTAGTGGGACCAGGCCCCAGGACGGACTCCTCGGGGACATGACATCCACAAGGACGCTCCGGTTCTTTTTTTTCTTTTTTCTTTTTTTTCTTTTTTCTTTTTTTTCTTTTTTTCTTTTTTTTGGGAAAAAGATAGAATTCCATTAAAAAGCCAAATTTGAGGCCGGGAATCCTTACAAACAACCCGGATCGACTCGAGCCTGGACCGCTGGAAAAGAACCAGCAATTGTTCAGTGAGCATCAAGCTCAACAACTCTTATAAACAAACATACCGAAAACAACCATGCAACAAAAAAAACACCTCAAAAAATCCACACACAAACAATTATTTTTAACAAGGTTTCCATTTTTCTATAATAAAACATGCCTGAAATTACAAACAACAAACCACATACAAGTGCAAAATCAACCAAGCAAAAACAAAGAGCAACATTCATAGCCTCATTCCTTCTCACAACTAGCATCCTACATTCCCCTCTACATCGCCCCTTCTTATCTAAAGAGCCTACTTCTACTTCTAGCCTAACCACTAAGTCTTCCGCCACCTACACGGTGGTTGGAACCTACAGCGGTTCCATCTACTTCTGGACACTCACTACCCCGCTTCCCTTCTGCCTCCTACTAAGGATAAAAACCGAGTGTCCTGGTTTCCCACCTAGCTCCTACAACTAACTAACTAATTAACCAGACTGAGTCCAAGAACTGTAATTTCCCATGCTCTGTGACCACCACCAGTTTCCCATCCAGAGCCCAGGTTTGCCTGAACCATAACGAACCAGCCCCCCGCCCGCTGTCTGTAGGCGTTTTCCTCCTCCAGTCCGCCTGGATCATCCTCCTGAGTTCTGTTTTGAAGGTGCGCTTGATTTCAGGGTCCGACATGATTTTTCCCTCGAACTGAGCCTGGTTCCTCTCTTTCCATATGACCCAGAAACCCACGGCTCGGGCTGCCTGTGCCACATATCCCCAGCCCTTCTCCAAACACAGATTCTCCGGGATTCCACCCAACAACACCCACCTCCGATCCCATGGTAACAGCCCGCCCGTCCAGGCGCTCCACTCCTTATCCCACCATTCCCATATACGCCTGGAAGCCGGACAGTCCCACCAGATATGAGTGGTAGACTCAAACGACCATAGACATCTTCTGCATTGCGCCTCGATTCTGCAGCCTCTGCTTATCAAAGTCACTGCCGAGGGGGTTGCCAGCAACGACTCCAACCAGAGCAACATTGCCGCTCTGGTGTTTGGTGCGAGCGCAAGCTGCTCCCAGCATCTCGGTAAGACCCTACAGATCTGATCCGTCTCCTCCGGAAGGACTCGTTGCCATCTCTCCGTGGCAACTTGCAGTGGGATCTTATACGGCATCTGTACCTCGTACGCGAGCTTCAATGTATACTCGTCCAACAGAAGGGTATCTCCCTTCGGACCTCTTCCCCTCCAACCCCATTGGTCCGGGTCTGCTCTCAGCTCCGCGATAGGCTGCCCCTGGTTCCACAGGGCTGCTTTCCAGTTTCCTCCCTCGTCCACCGATTCCCTGACTCTTACCTCATGGATCTCTGATCAGATCCTCCTCATCTTCTTGTTGAACCAAAGCTCCCTCCGGGCCATTGCTGAAACTTCCGACCATCGACATCTGAGATTTCCACCAGCTTCAGAAAGGATCTGCCTCCCTCGTCCGGCGTTGTCTCAAACCAGGTACCAACCGGGTCCACCTGCGCTGGGTCTAGAATATCGTGCCATTCTTACGGGATGGCCTCCAAGACCTGCCTTTTCCTTTCCTTAATAAACTTAGTGGGTCTCAGTTTTTCCTCCAGATCATCATCTCGAAGCCAGGATCCCGTGAGAGGGTTCCACAGGTCTCTCAGCCTTGTGACTCTGTGCTCCACCCAGACTCTTCCAAAACTCCCGGAGGATGAGTTGGCCATCAGCATCCCACCATTCTGATCTCTAATATGCTGATTTTCAAAGATGATTTGAGAGAGGACTTGCTCTTTTGTTTTAGGGGAATAGCATTGGTCCGGTTTGACTTTCCGCCAGGCTTGAAGCACGGCCTGCCAAAACTCTGAACTGATCCTCCTCCTCAGGTAAGAGTCTATCCAAACACATACCCACACGTCAGAAGGTCTTTGAAGATTCCATTCCTTACTCATGATCTGTTCTCTCAGGAGAACCCAATGCGGATCTTTGTCCATACCGATGGCGCGAACCACCCACTGAGCAAGCATAGCTACGTTTCTCCGCCCCGGGTCAGTCAATCCTAGGCCACCCTCCGTTCTACTAGGGACACAGATCAGGTCTCAAGCTACTTTAGACATCACATTGTCTCCTTCCTCTGCGTATGGATTCCACACGAATCTGGCCGCCTTCCGTCTGACCACTGCCAGCGACTTCTTCCCCAGAGGCCTTACATTTCCCACAAAGGTAAGCAAGGCAAAGAGCGCCGCGTTGATCACCAGTGCCCTTCCTATAAGGGACAGGTGAGGGGCTTTACCCCACGTACTCATCCTCTACAAAACCTTGCTTTGTAAGATATCCTCTTGTCTTGTAATGCAGGACAATAAAGCCACTTGAACGCCCAAGAAGCGTTCCGAGTCGTGCTGTTGCACTCTCTTCATGCCCCAATCTACCGCCGGTGAGCGTTGACTTGGTAGGAAGTAAACAGATTTCGACCAGTTTATAGCCACTTCTGTGAGGACTTCGTATTGGCTAAGGCACTGCCGCAGTTCTGTCATTGACTCCACTGTGTTCTCCGTTACTGCAAAAAGGTTGTCCGCAAGTGCCTTCACTCTACAGGATTGATGACCCAACTCCACACCAACTATGCTGTTATGCGCCCTTATGTTGTTCAATGGTACTTCCAGGTGCACAACAAACAGGAGTGGCGCCAGCGAACACCCCTGACGGAGCGACCGCGTCAACTTGAATTCTGGTGAAATGTGGCCATTCACCATAACTAAGGCCGTGGACATGGAGTACAGCGCAATAACCCAGGAACATAACACTTTGCCAAAACCCATCCATCTCAGGGTGGTTAGCACATAAGACCAGTTCACGCGGTCGTAGGCCTTCTCCATGTCCAGGAGGAGGACCGCCATGTCTAAGTTAACCACTTCCAAGATTTCAATCGCCGTCACAATGTTCTCGTGGATCGACCTTCCTCTGACAAACGCTGCTTAATCTGCTGCCACTAGCGACGGTAAGTACCTTCCAAGCCTTCTGGCTAGAACCTTTGCAAGGATCTTGTACGAGACGTTCAATAGGGAGATCGGCCTCCAATTTCGGATTTCACTCGTGTCTCCCTTCTTGAAAATTAGGGAAATAATGCCCTTGCATGAACTTGTCGGTAGCCTCCCTCCTAACTGAACCTCATTGTAAACCTCGACCAGCTCCTCTGCTTCAACTTTGGTGATCGGTCGGTCGAGATCCAAACGGCCCTGGGGACACAATCTGACTGTTGTGTTCTCCCAGTGAGGTGAATCGGCTGATAAGTCTGAATTTGGACCCTCTTCCACTCTCCTGGACGTCAAAATATCACGATAGTAAAGGACCGCATAACCGCGTAAGTCTGACGGGGAGACTGCCATTGGCTCATCTTGCTCAAACGGGTGTCTGAGTTCCTTCATAGAGGGGGCTGATCTTGCAGGCATCAACCGTTGGAAGGTTTCTCTTGTCATTCTGTCGTACACCTCCAAACCCTTGACCTTCAATCTCTCCGACCACTCCTCTGATTTCTTTTGCTGTAGCATGTCCCATTCCGCCAGTCTCCGAGCTCTCTCCTTTCCCCACATCAGTTCATAGATGGGGTATTCCTTCATCCTCTCTTCTGCCTCTAGTACTCTTTTCTAACACCTCTTCTCTTCCTTGTTCCTTTGCAGCGCTAGGATCATGGAAAAATAGTTCAGTACACTGGAAACGATTCGCGTTCCTCCTTCCCACCATTCCGACAGGGAGGAGAAGTTCCCCTTTTGATTTTCCCAACGTACCCAGAACTCCCGCGTCCAATCGTTCAGCCCTTCTACCTTCAAATTAGCTATATTCAGCTTGAAATATCCTCGACCACAAATGTTCTCTGAACCGAGATTGAAAACACCCAGAACAGGTTTGTGGTCGGATATCGGGTTATTAACAGCCTCCACTCTGACCAGACCTTCTTTGAGTTTACCGGCGGTCAATAAATAATCCAATCTCCGGCCCCGTCCTCGATGAGAGAACCAAGTGAAACCGTGATCAGTTGGGTGCACGAATCGAAAGGAATCCTATAGCTCCAAGTCTTCCATCAGGTCGACCAGTGCCAGGGTATCCCTCGAACCTCTGTTTGCGGATTCGTTGTTGGATCCAGCGAAGTGTTGAAGTCTCCATCGATAACCACGTTGTCCACATCTGGTAAGACGAGTCTCAAGTCTTTAAAAAATGTCACTCGTTCACTCCTATTGACTAGCGCGTAAATTGAAATAACTGCCCACGTGAGGACGTCCTGTCTAAATACCACCCATGTGCGACCCCAGAGGTCTGCGTAATAATCGACTATGTCCGGACCTAAGTCTCTGTGTACTAAGATCCCAACCCCTCCTCTCGAACCCTTCGCCGCAGACCACACCTGTGGGCCGTCCCACCAACTACCAAGGGCTTGGAGCTTCTCTTGACAGAGTTTCGTCTCTTGGAGACACGCTATTGACACCTTGTTCTTGTGTAACCAAAATTTCACTCTCGTTCTCTTATCCCTCCCCGAGGTGTCACCAAATCCCTGCACGTACCATGAAACTATCCGGTATCTAACCATTCTTGTCGCTCCTGCCCTGTGCAGACTGCATCTGGGCTGACGTGGCTGCCACTCCCCCTAACCACATCTGGGTTAGCGCCTAGTGGACAAACTTGGAGTCGAGTCTCTTCTCCTTCGGCAATCAACAGAAAAATTCCCACGAGAAATGAAAGTTGAAAAAACATTCCATAAAAAACAAATCCTTCTTATTTATAAATTATCATTCCAATGTTTGTGAAATTCTAAAATTTTCAATTTAATTTGATAAGTTTCCGTCCAAATATGAGTTTTTCCTTCCAACTACATCTATTTGTTCAAGATGGAATGAAAGTCTGGACGAGTTTATGAAATGTTTTAATTAGACTTTCATACTACTACAACAAATATCTTCTAATTTAGATTGGATTAACATATTTATGACTCGAAATCCTTACTTAGAATGACGGTCCAATTAAAATATTTCATGAACTCATCCAGACTTTCATTCCATCTCTAGGATGCAGTTCAAATATAAGAAGGGATACTTCATTCTTGGAAGGAAAATTTTCAAGTAAGACGAAAAATTTTAAAATTAGAATGACATTTTTTAAGATGGAATGAAAATTTGAAATTTAGAATGTAATTTTACTCTAGAATGATTATTTAATTCTGGAAAATTTTTCTGTTGATCGAATCTTCAGCTCGGCTATCGCATCAGCAGTTATCATCAGCAGAGAGATTACAAGGCGACTTAACTCCTGCTTCTTGCAATCTGCGAAAAGGGTCATCGGTATCAGGCGGAGGTCTAAGGCTTCCAACTCTGATACCTTCTCCTCCGTTAATCTCGCATCGATAATCGGAATATAAAATTTCACCTTGCCATCTGTCAAGCCGAATAGGACCCTCGGCATAGGGATGTCAGAGATCACCCGTGCTGGGACTGCACCCAAATACAGCGTCCTGATGCATTCCTCTATTGTCCCAAGCGAGGGCAGATCCGAGACTGCCTGTGCAAAGAGGTTAAGTGGGCCTGGTCCCTTCTGCCACGAGATCACCCAAAGAGCGTTGCGGACCGCCGTACAGAGCAGAGGCAGGAGATACTGAGGCATCTCCGTTCCTTGTGGGCGAGCCGCCGCTGCCAATCTTCTGTCCCGCGTTGTTTTACTGCCAGGTGTCACTGTCCCAATCACCTATCCAATCGACCTCTCCGAATCCTCTCTTCAGGTCCTTGAATTTCTTGACTGCTCCGGTGTTAACTCCGGTTGTGAAGTTAGACTAAGGCGTCGTTGTTTCCCCGGTCCTCTTCCCCTTGACCGAGTCGGGGTATTATCCCCACCCATCCCGCCAATCGTTCCCCCGATATCTCCACCTCCCCTCGAGCTTTCTCCCAGGTGGCCTTGATTCCCGATCCCGATCCCAATACCCCCTTGGGGCTGGGGCTGGGGACCTGGATTCCCAACACTGCCGCCTCCGACTCCGAAATTTCCCGCTTGTTGGGACAGATTCAGGGTTGGGACACCTTGTTGTCCTGATGCGTTCCCTTGAACAGCTCCGCCCAAACTGTTTAAACCCTATGATGCCCCTAGCCATGGATCAGGCAGGTATCCACTCGACAGCAACCAATCTAGGGTTAAACCAGGTTGAGCCCAGTTTTGTTGTCCCGTCGACACCTGTCCTACGGGGATCATACCAAACGGAGGTGCGCTCCCGCCGCCTCCTCCGAGATGCTGGAGGGAACCCGATGTCGGGACTCCCATGAGGCCACTCTGACCGGCACCCCCTGGTCCTGGAGAAAACGTTGGATTACTTCTCATCGCTCCTCCTTGCAATCCACCTGGTAGAGGCATCTGAGTCAATGGTCTTGGACCCATCGGTCCCCGATAGCTACCCTGAGGAAGAGCTGCGCTCCTTGAACTTGCCGTTGGCTGATGCTGAAGTCCTTGGGCTTGACTTAAAGACGTGGTCGCTCTCGCTGTTGTTCCTTGATTCCGAGATTTGGGCCCTCTTCTGCACTCTTCCTCCGTGTGAAAGAATTGTCTACAATTTTTGCACTTCGGAGTACCCGAGGAGGCTAAGCGGACTTCTAGAGTGTCCCCGTTCGAAGTTTCAATCCAGAGGACATCCTTCATGTTCGCTCTTGACTCCGGAACCAGGTCGAACTTCGCGTTGACAAGAGCCGGCCTCAATGGATCTGCATCTGTTGGATGAGCCGATACGATTTTGCCAATTGCCTTCTCGATTTGAGCATAGATAAATGGCATAACATCTAGAGGAATTTGCAACGCGATCACCCAAAAAACGCTTTCGTCCTCCTGCCTTCTTAATTCTCGGAATTCCGCTTTGGTCATCCACAGCTTGAAAACCATTTTATACATCTCCGTTCCCAGCAAAACCTTGACCTGTCCTTTTGAAATCATAAATTGAGCCGCTATTCTTGTTTTCGCTACGTACGATGCCACACGAGGCCCTTCTATTTTTATCCTTCCCCTCCTCTTGTCGCCGCCCAGACTTTCATTCCCCAGCACCCATCCATCCTCGAACGCTCTAACCAGATCATCTTTAATGTTCTTCGGAAGGAAACGTGCCGCGTCCTTGTAGACGACAGTAACGGTGCGCTCTTTAAGCTACTTAACTTTTATTTCGTCCAAGCATGTGTTCAACTTGAATCTCACCTCTCTCCCCTCCACTCTCATCTCTCCTGGGTCTATTTCTGTCAGATACACACCATCGTTGAAACATAGCTGCAGCAGAACCCGTATCCTGTCTTCATCCTCCCAATAGTCCCTCTCCATCGAGGGGACAACCGGAGGGGACCTCCCTGTGCCCCCCCCTCCGGGGTTTGATTCCATCTCTACTCCAATCCTTCCCTACCTTCTCTGATCTCCTTCTCTTTTGCGCACCTTCCCTACTTGACTTCTCCCTACCGTGCCGGGAGGCTGCTTCCTCTGCCTGTCAAACTACGCCTATGGCTAGTATATCGCCATATCCACCCTTCAAGGAGGGTGCGTGGTGAGAAGACTCCCGGACGCTATCACGTTGGTAGCGCCCAGGACGGCAACTCGGGTCTTGCCAACCCGGTACCGCTTGGCAGAGCGCTCTGCGCGGACCGAAGCGAAGTCGCAACCCCCATGTATTAAAATTTCGAAGGGCTCTTGGACTTGTCGGTCGACGCTCTGGTTCCACCTGTCCTTGGGGACGAGATTGAAAAAGAATTTGAAAAGAAATGTGAAAACGTCACAGGGAAAATTCCTTGTGGCATCCTTGTGGCCCCAGCCAACATTTCCTTATCTCCAAGGGACCTCGTGAGCCAACATTTCCTTATCTCCAAGGGACCTCACGAGGTCCCTTGGAGCTCAAGGAACCCTGATTCACGGAGTGGCGAAGACATGCGTCGACGGAGAGTTTTAGTTCTTGGGTGGTCCAGATGTGGTCCAGCGGCGTTAGCACGGACATCCCCGCCCTCCAATGTCTGCGTAGTCCCCCAACGGCCCCCAATGGCTACTGTTGGCGGTGGGCTTCCATTGGGTGGCATCGTCGTTTTCGACCGGCATCATGCGGTCTCACGTGCTTGAGGAACGTATGCGTAGTCCCACAACGCCCCCAAACAGCTACTGTTGGTGGCGGCGGCATTTTCGGCCGGCATCAATGGTTGGAATTTATCTTTTTTCCCGGGGGCGCCTTCAGTCCATCTACAGAAGTGGTTTCTTCATGAGCGTCGTATTCCCACTCATGTTGTCACATGTTGCACGCCCGATAAGACTCTTTCCTTCTCCGTCGTCGTGTGCCCATTGCTGCCCTCTCCACCGTGCAGTTCATGGCTGACCTGTACCGCTGTGATGAACTATTTTCTGTAATCGCGCGACTTTCTACGCGCAGCTTGCTTGAGGAAATACGACGGGTCAAAGGGGTGAGTTGTGGAAAGATGGGTCGGGCGGGCTAGTTGCATGGATGCCCTCGTTTCTTTTCGTTTTCTGTTGGTAGTTGTCGGATCGATGTCGGGAAAATCCCGTACCAATGGTTGGGTGGTCACGCCATGATGGGCGCAAGAAATAACTGTACCATAGCTTCTTTCTTGTTCTGTTATGAGCACTAGGGATTTTTGGTGCGATCATCGCGCGGGAATATTGTTTTCGAATTTTCAAGTGATATCGAGCCCCCATGGGCTCGCGAAATTATTCTTCTCTTTTTCGGAATTTCCTTTTTGCAATTAGGACAGTCACTTAGGCTAGGAATTTAGGAGCGCTTAATTTTGTTGCGCCGCGCTTGCGCGCATCTTTTTGCGCTGAGAACTGGACTCTGACTGGATCTCGCCCTTAATCTTGTGCAGCTGTCGTTTTTGGCGGGCGCGATTGTAACTCTATCTTTCTTCTTTCTTGATTTCCCCGTGTTTGTCCGCCTTCGCCTTCTCCCTCGCCTTAAGTGCTCTGTTCTAATTGGCCGGAGCGTCTGCATGACCGGATCGATGCGTGGAATGTGGTTACATCCCCCACGTCTCGGCCTGACCATGCAGACGTAGGCACTTCCTCTCTTCTCCTTTTTGTCCACCTGAGCTTAATCCCATACCTTTCACGCAGGCATGCATGCTATAAATTTCGCAAGCGCGATTAGTTCTCTCTCTAAGAATTTTGAGGTTAGCGCGATCAGTGAGGATAGGCTAAGCAAGCAAGTTTTGGAAGGTGAGTGAGTGAGAGAGTTGGGCGATCCGACGAGTTGGTGTCGGGTGTGCGGGGCCACGACGAACTGTGGCGCACGGGCGAACCTGGCATGCATGCTCGAACCAAGCGGTGTGACAACTATGTGTTGATGCGAGGCGACGGACTGCTTGCATCAGGAGTGCGGAGAGAGAGAGAGAGAGAGAGAGAGAGAGAGAGAGAGAGAGAGAGAGAGAGAGAGAGAGAGAGAGCAGTTGTGTGGGTGCGGGATAAGGTTCTTTCTTTGTTGTTCCTTTCTTTTCCTTTGTCATCTCTATAATTTTGGATCCGGATATGGTCGATAATATCGCGACCATCTTTTGTAAATCGTCTCGGATTTTCGTTGTTGCCTTTTTGCCTCGTATGAATGCATGAATGGGTGTGAACTCTTCTTCATTAAAGACCTTTTCGGATTCCCGATCTTGTTTTGCGATGCTTGTCTAATTCCCTCCTCTATCTGCACCTGATTCGAAGCACCCGCTATGAATGTCTGAGTTCTTTTTGTTTCTTTTCTCTCCTTTTCGTCACATGGATGGTATGGATACGAATGAAACATGTGAATCTCCCTCTACCTAGCATGAGTAGGATAGTTGCATGTAGGATACGATCGTTATCGCGACATTGGGATCCCGCTCAGGCGTGACGTGCGCATCTGCATGAATCGACCCAGAACTTATTGAAACGATGTTGGAATCGAACCCGTTAACCAGATATGGCCGAGGAAAGTCCCTTTTGGATCACCGATTGTGAAAGACTGAGGGATCCAGAGCACCGCGAGTACAAGGAAGGCGAACAACTAAGACGACGGGGGAACTTGAGAAACCAGGAATTCCCATGTTTGACGGAGAACGACCGATTGTGCGCGTGGGATTTCCACTGGGCTATAACCTTCAACCCGAGCGGGCCAGACTACCCGGATACGGACAACACCCAATACTAAATATCCCCGGGCTTCGTCGTTATCACTACCTGTTTCCCTCCCTTTCACATCCTCCTCCCATATCACCAGCTCACGGTGGTACCGTGGAATTCCATAGCTCGCTATTGGCCTCGTCCACCGTGTGAGGATTGTCGGTGGTACCAGACACGCCAAGCTTCGGGATTTGTCCGCCGAACTCGAACCGAAGTAGAGCACCGGTTGCACCACCTCCGCTTCCGGTCCGCCTCGTCGGATTCCGAAGCTTGTTACGAGCAACGCCGACAACAGCACGACCGTCGGGCAAGCGACTAACCGTGGCGACGCCACTGGCAAAAACTATAAGTCCCTTCCCCGAAGGCAGAGACGCCAGATACGATCCGTGCGCACCATTTGCACCGTTGTCCCTAAAACTTGCCACAGGACATCTCAGTTTCGACCTGGGACTCCACCCCCATTTTCCCAAAATCCTTGGAACACCCCATTTTTTGCACTTCCGGGCCCCCATCCCACTCCGATCAGGAAGTTGCGCTGGGCGTAAGATTGGGCGTCACACCGCAAGCTCCCTGTGCTGCTCCTCGGCCCTATGCTGCTCCTCGGCGCTGTGCTGCTTCTCGCTGAAGTAGTTATCAGTGGGATTGTCGCATTGTGGGAGGTCTTCCCACGTCCCTCCCGTCTTGCGTTTGATGCACCACCTCGGTGTGGCTCGTGGAATGATGTCGCAACCCAACGTGTAGCTCAGCTCAATGACAACCTCCGAAGTTGCCACGTGGTCGGGGCCGTCACCCGCGGCTTGCATCAGCGTCCTTCTTCTACGCGCGTGCAACTGCTCCTTCATTCGTCCCAGTGTCCTCCTCCTACTAACAACGAAGAATAACGGTTGACACGACCGCCGCCATGGCTGCTCACTCAAGCGGTGTCAACAACGGACGTTCGTCCTCTCGGCTTCCCTCCATCACCACCACCTCCATAGGGATGACGTCTTTTCTTTCCGTGGATGTCGTCCCTTGGCGAAATAGTGTGTGACGGCGCAGACGATGTGGAGGAGAAGCTCGACGGTGATGGACGTACCCGGTGCACGCACATACACTGACCAGGAGGTGGGCGGAAGGGACGCCACCGCTCAGGCCGATTCATCCCTGCACCATCTGCGTGCTGCAAGCCGAACGTCGTCATCGTCACCACAGCTGTACTTCAATTTTTTGATTTCAAACGTAGAGGTCCCCCTTTTTTTTTTTTTTTCGTGGCCTGCCTCATGCCCGTTTCCACCGGACGTCGCTCGACTACGCCGTCTTCACACGGACACCGGACACTGGATCATGGACACCCCCACCCGCAGCCGCATATCTTCATATGAAAATGGCCACGAGCAGGCGACAAGGAAACGTCCTCGGGGGACGTCCCCAAGGATGTGTGGAACGACACCGCAAAATTTCCTTACGAGTCCTTCTGGTTCAAGGAACTCGTAAGGAGTGTCTAACTAGGCCCATTCCACTAGCCATGTATGTGGATTAGTGTGACGAGTGTGTGACAGGTGGGGGACAGGTGGGTTGCAGCGTGAAATAGGAAAAATAAACGCAAAAAAATATTTCATTCAGTGCTAAAAAAAAAAAAAAAGTGCTCTTTTGACGAACTATTTTCTGTAATCGCACGACTTTTTGCGCAAAGCGGCTTCGGGGGTTGGGGACTGGTTGGTCGGGTGGAGTGCATGGGTATGGGTTGGCTGGGCAAGTTGCATGGATACCCTCGCTTCTTTCTTTTTGGCTTTCGGGACCGGGGCCGAGAAAGTCCTACGCAGACGATTGGGTGACCGCGCATTAGCGAGCGCGATAAATAACGGTTGTCATAACTTATTTCTTGTTCTGATGTGGGAGATGAGAATTTTGGCGCGATCGGAGCTGAACGCGCGGGAATATCGTTTTTCAAATTTACAATTGATGTGGAGCCCCCACGAGGTCTCAGAATTATTTTTCTGTCTTTT